ACATGCCGGAGCAAGAGGAGCATGCCTTCATTGACATGGACAGGGAAGGGTTGGACGTAAAGGCTGTTCCTCGAGCTCAAACCATGCTGGAGTTTCTTGTGTGGGACCCATGTGGAAAGGACAAGCTTCCTTTGTCAGTGTGCATGATTCCAATGGAGTACACTTTGAAAGGTGTGCATGCAGTGCACCGGGGCTGCTGGACTATGCTGAACATTGTGGGAAAGGTTCTAGCAAACAGTGGCTCAGTTGTCAAGGGGTTGACATTCGATGCGCACGGCTCACATGAGTTTATCCGAAGATGCATCCATGGAACCTTTGAAGACATTGACATGACTGAGTTGAAGGAAATCCCCTTCTTCAGTGAACTGAAGCACTACTCTTTGCCGCACAACTGCCTCCCTCGGTTACCCATCAAGATCTGCTATCACAAAGATGAGGTCTTTTGGTGCGTGCCAGGGGCATGTCGCTTATCTATATACTGATTTTCTTTTTAGAATACTTTTTAATATTTTTATATTTCTAGTTTATATATTGCTCTTTTTGCCAGGCCATCACTACAAAATGCATCCTGACCACTACAAAATGCATCCTGACCCCTAAACGTATCATTTTATAGAGGTTCTTGTTTTTATGAAGCAGCAATGCGGCCAGGTCACGCAGGAAAGAACTTCAATGGACAATTGAACTCCGTTCTCCGTGTCATCCACTATGGCATTCACTTTGCAGACGCAACACAAACGCTCAAGTACGGTTGCCCTCCACAGGCATACTCCAGATCTTCTCCAATGAGCGACAAAATGAATGCACTGCTTTGCAACCCATATTTCACAGTGGAAGACCCAGCAGCTTGTCTTTGTTAAGTGTGTATTGCGCTCTTGCATCCATTTCCTTCTATCCAATGCATAATCAGCTCGTCCTTTTTTGATTTTCACGAACTAAATAAATCATAAGAGTTTACACATGTTGTTCATAAGAGTTTTATTTAATATATGTATATATGAATTAAAATACATTATATATATAATTTATCTAAATTGTATCTTATTATGTTTTGCCAAAGCAGACCTATCAGCCAGAATGTCCAGGACAGCCCTACTTTCTCCAGCATGAATGTCCACTGGAGCCTCAGGGGCTTCACCATTCATACCACTGTGCTTGCGCTTTGCTTGTGTGGTATCCTTCATCGTGACCTTGACCTTGCAGACCGATGTGAGAACTGCATCACTGGCTTCCTGCTTCTAGACATATTCAAGATTTTGGCCAGGGAACTATGCGAAGCGCGCAGGCTCCCGACAGGCAGCTTGTTTGCGGCGCCACAGACATGCACCATTCTCCAAGCCTGTGCCCTATCAGGAGAACCATGTTTCTATTTTTTTCTCTGTACCATTGTTTGCTTTTGTTAATTGTTGAGTTCCGTTTGCCGTTTGACCATGTTTAACATAACAATGTTTAACCATCAAGTTGTTCAACCAAGCATGCCAGGAGCAGTGATCACTCTTACGAAGCCAGTGGCTTTCTCTGCCTGGGAAGCAGGAAACGGCAGGCTCTCAGAAATCTCAATAGAGCAATACTTTGGGCATTTACGCGGCCAGTTTGTCTCAGGGCAAATGACAGCTCGATCCTTTTGCGCAGCCGCTGCAAGACAGGACTTGAAGACTTCCAAGCTGCTAGATCTGGCCAAACCCAGGCGCCAGCGTTCTGAGAAGCCTTTGTCAGACACAGAGTTGCTTGCCTCTACAAAATGAATAAAGATACTGCTGTATGGTTAGATTGATCCATTTTGTATCATTTTGGTGTCATTTTGTAGTGTTTCTGTGATGCTTGCTTGGAGTCTGTTTTTCAACTCTGGAGTGGAACTCATCCCAGGTTTGATAGAATTTGCCAGAATGCTCTGACAAGCTCTTTGCGTTTGGCTTCAGAGTGCTCCGGTCTGCCAGTCCAGGATGTGAAACAGAAGTACTTCACAGCCTGCAGCAGTGCCGAATGTTTTTGGGATGCGCCAGAGGATATTCAGGAAGAGGAGGAGACCGCAGATAATTTGGAAGAGACTGTGGATTGCCTTGCCTTCCTGAAGCAGCTGCAGGATGAGCAAAAGTTGCTTGCAGATGAGGAGGTGGCCACGAGCAAGGAAGCTGCAGCTGATGCACAGCCTGCTGATAGCTTTGAGGCAGGCTTTTCAAATATCCCTGACAGCGATCAACTTCGACAGCTCATGGAGAAGCCGGCTTCCTTGGAGCCGTTCCGATCCGAATGCTCGCGCAGCCCAAAAAATCCAGAGAAAGACAACCTCCTTCCTACAACGTTGCGGGCTGCGCTTGCCATGCGCGACCAGGGGGATTTGTTCAACCACCTGTTCCGGCTGAACCTCAAGCTGAGGAACACCAAAGGTGGGATTGACACAGGGCTGATCCAGAACGCGCGCAGTTGCAGGAGGGCTTCCACCAACCTAAACTGGCATCAGTTCCCAAGCTGGTGTGAGTGTTTTATAATTTTATAAGACGTCTTCATTTTGTAGAAGTGTTATGAGGCAGTTCGATGCATTTTGTAGATAAAACATGATCAAACATGATAAAACTCTATTGGATAAGTCAATTCCATTTGCATCTCATCCATTCTCATTATGCAATGATATGCATATATATTGCCAAGGTACAACGAGAGGAAGCTCGCTGAACTGGAAGCGGAGAAAAATGAGCCTGCCTACCAGACAAGAGCAAGCCGGTTGGACCGTTGGAAGGGCCTTGTAGCTCAGGCACAAAAGGATATGCAGCTTCCAGAATCCCCACCAGAGAGGCTGATGACTCTTGGCCATGAAACATAAGAACATTTTTTCATCTCTTTTCTAGTTTATTATGTTTATTCCGCGCTGCAAGATGGTCATTGAACGTGCATGAACATGCTATGTAGATCTATGTATCTGCTAGTATGCATGAGGATTCAAAAATTATATATAATTATGATTATTTACGCACATCCATCTCAGGCCTGGCAACATCGTGATGTTCATGACTCCATCCACGAAGTCCTCGCTCGAGCTTGGGATGATCATTAGTGTCTTCAAGGGTGTCAAGGCCCCCAAGTTGAACGCCGGTGAAACACCTGTGAGCTCCTGCTTGGCTTTCAGAGTGATCACGTTGGAGATCGTTGACATGGAAAAGTACCCTCCAATTGAATGGAAGTGCAACTGCAAGTCGAACGTATGGAGTGTGCGATTGGAAGGGCTTGTGAACATTTTGGATTGCGAGAGATGCATTTCAGCAGCATTTCACTACAAAATGGATCAAAATATATCAAAATGGTCATTCTAGTCTACAAAATGGTCATTCCAGTCTACAAAATAAATACCACTAAATGCGACCAATTGTATTAGTCAAAGTATGTCAAAGTTATATATATATATATACAGAATAGACGCGAAGGACCAGATAGAAAAGAAAAGGAATAGGATGGAAAAGGAACATAGGATAAACAAGTATTGAAAAATGACTGAAAGGATAGACGTGTGTTTCGTGGGTCTTTCATTTCATCTTGCTCTGAGGCGTTGAGCCATGGAGCAACGATGGGGACATGAAGTTTTTCTTGACCCCAGAGAGCGCCGAAGCCTTGGTGAATGCTCCAAAAGTCAACGTGTGGGAAGTTGGTGCCACCATGACACGAGGGCAAGCAAAGGCTGCGGCTAAAGACACAAATCGCAGTCGCAAATTTGCTTCTCGCGGCTTGCGAGAGGAGAAGGGCAAGGACACTAGTGCAGGAAATAAGCTCCTGAAGTCGAAGGACAAGAAGAACGGTGCCCAGAAACCGGCAGCAGATCTCAAGAACCCGGTGGCTGCGGACTACAAGAGAACCGCATCAGGAGAAGCAGCCATCCGAATCCAGTTGGAGCGTTTGCTGGAGATTCACAATGACATCTACCAGGAGTCACCCATCTTCGATGTGAATGGCAAATGCAGGATGGCTTTCGAAGTTGTCAAAAACCTCACGTGGGATACGCTGCTGAAGTGTGCACCGCAAGCCTTGAGCGCCATGCATCTTGACATAATCTGAAGTGATTTCATATAAGATCATATCATTTCATATCAGAATAATTCAGAATATATATATATATATATATATATGAATATTTTGAGAAGGACCCCTGTTGAAATTTAGGGCGTGGGGTTGTGACGGTCATCGTGCATCATTTTGTAGTAAAAATCTGCAAAATGAGGACCTCTACAAAATGGTGGGTGAAAGATTATTGTTGTAGTATAAAAATGCAATTTAAAGACACCAAGCGGACAAACAAATTGATCTAACAATACTATACAAGACTGGGAAATGCATCACATACGTTTGCAGGTACCACAACCTTCGTGGCAATGTGGCTTACGGGGAAGCGCTGGAAAAGCTGTTTAGGACTGCGGAAAGCCAGCTTTTGAGGGATCCGCCAGTGCGCACGGCCCTCCTTCATTTGGTGAAGGAGATCGGCACGTTTGCGCGACACGCCACCTGAAAATCAGGGAAAGACAAACGTGATCAGACTGGTGGAGAAAAAGAGCGCGATCATTTCGTAAACAAAGGCCGATTTTACTTGATCATTTTGTAGACAAACGGACTCATCTAGTAGAGAATAAGGAGACAACAGACTCACTAACAGACTCTACATAATGATTTTGTTTTTTTAATTCCCGGGGTGGGCCCATCATTTTGTAGATTTTTTCCTTGTTTTCACGTTTCTACATAATGACATACAGTGACCTTGAGCGATGCATTTTGTAGGTATTTTTTGGTTTGTCGAATTTTTTTTACCCCCCCCATTTTGTAGATAGTATCATTTTGTAGAGCCAAAAAGTGGTTTTTACTACAAAATGACTGTCTCAACCCCACGCCCTGAATTTCAACGGGGATCAATGAGTAAAGTAATCACAACAACGCGGAACAGTTAAAGGCTCGCGGTAAAATCTATGGGTCAGTCTTACCCTCCTTAGGACCAACGTGGTCCCGCATGCCAAGTAGCCGAGGAGAAGCAGGACATGTTGGGCGCGGGGCCAGCGCCCGAGTTGGCGCCCCCTGCTCTGGAGCCAGGCGACACCATCCGGACGGAAGTGGATTTTCCTGGAGTTTGGCCCTGGATTTGCGACTTGCAGAACTGAATTGATTGGGCTCATTCGAGTCGGTAGCGTTTAAAGGCTACCTGGAAGTCCTTTAGTTGGCTTTTGCTTTGGGAGTGCGAAGTCCTTGGCATCTGGACATGGGCCATGTGCTTTGTGGAAGTTGTTTGTCAATGCCGGGGAACTCGAAATCGAGCAAAAACTGCCCTTGAAAGTTTGAAGACTTGTTGGAACCGATGCACCCCTCCAAGACTGCTCATGAGCGCGGAGTGTGTGTGTCTTCTTGGACCTGCGCGTGGGCCAGGTCCCTTGATGACTTTCTACCTCTACCGTGTGGACAACGATCAGAGGCCCTCGGCGAGCCGAGCGGGTGTTTGGGTGCTGCGTGGTGTCTCTTACTCTTCCACTCGTGGCCAGAAGAGGGTGAAGGATGGTCAAGGGACATGATGGTCCATGGTTGGTGGGGCGAATTAAAGCCCGGGGGAAGTACCGTATAAGTTTTACGTACTTTCTGTGGACCTGGGTATGGGCATCATTGCATCATCTACTCATCGACCCACTAAACCATGGGAGACCCTGGGGCAACCCGACACGAGTCACAGTAGATGTTTGATTCCGATGCAGTGTCTGCTCATCTCGCAGAGAACATTGAGCACCTTTCCATTCAAATCTGTAGCCCAGCTCCATGATGCTTCCAGTGCACCGTGCTGTCAAGCACTTTTCGATTGCTGTGACTTCACGACTCGCCCACCATGCCAACCGAGCGCGAGCCCCGAACCGCACCGGCGCACCCGCACCGCGGTTCGCGTGAGGTACAAGTTGAACGGCGTGAACATGGCGAACTTGTTGGGTGATGTGTGGCAGCCTCGTCGGCATCGGATGGATCTGTGGCAGACACCTGTGTGGGGCGCCGCCGAATTGTTTTATTATTTGGGAAGGGGCCGGGAGCGGCTGGGAGATGATGGAAGCGGTTTACCGTCCGGTAGGTGGTTCATCCTCGCTTCGTGGGACCTCCGTCAGGGGCAAAGGGAGATGGACTTCGATAGTCACGGGTCCAAGTGGTTGACGCTGGAGGTGCAACTTTCTGGGCTAAGTTGGGCAACATGTCTATATAAGACTTAGACTTAGAGTCTATTCTCCTGTGCTTTACATGGTGATGCACGGTGCTTTGGCTGCTTTTGGCCGCCAGCAAAGGCTTCGAATGATTCGGTCACCCTGCAGAGAGACTGTCCTCCAAATCCGAAGAGACACTGGAACCAGTCTCAATGATTGAAGTGGCAGGTAGATCTGGATGAGAGTGGTTTTAAATCGTTTTAATCTCGTTTTAATATAGGCTCAAGGCCTCCCTGCCGGGCGACAGCAAACTGTAAGCTTTTTGAAGCCAAGGCACGCCGGTCCTGCTTGGCTTCGCTCTTTTGGTGTGGGGTTCCGGGTTTTAGACGTGGCGCGGGTTCGTGCGCAGACGTGAACCAACCAACTCACCTCACCAGTTCACTCCACCACACGAAGCACCTCACCTCCCGTTCGGTCCACAACGAGGTATTTGCACAACGAGGTGGTCTTCAACTGCCCGAGGACGATCGTGATGCGTCGGGTCCGGGGAGGACGGATGGAATGCAGCGGAAGAATGTATCGGTATCGGTATCGTACTGTGAAACAAACGCCTTGGAGATCTGTGGAGGTCTCTTGCCTGATGGCCTGAGCATGAAGAGCATGAACATTTTGTGCCACTGTAAGGGGCATAATGCATTCAGGAAATTGGACTGCATCAAAGGCATGGCCAAAAAGCATTTTGGAATCACAATCAACGGCGGCGGTTTCGGTGTTGCTTGTTTGCTGTCAGCCTTTTTTCGTCACCGCGGCAAGCACATATGTCCTGCATGGCGGTCTGCATGGCCGCTGAAGCGTGAGGAAGTTCAACATCTCTCGCTTGACCCGCTTCAAAGTGTCCTATCGCGCCACCCGGGACTGGCGTGCAAGCGCGGTGTGCGTGTTTTCAGTGTTGGTGCAAGGGGAGCAGGGATGGGCAGGGAGTTGGAGTGCTTCATGGCTCGAGTAATTAGTTTATCATGCAACCATGTTTGGCAGCTATTGTTCAATGGGTTTACCTCTCTCTATTCAGTGGTGCCACTTTTCTCTAGATGCATGGTGCATGTCTTTGTTTTTCTTTTTAAACAGTATGTTTGTGTTGCAGTGCTTGTCGCACGATGTTGCAGACCGCCTGCCAATAGAAATTCAGTCGGCACACCAATTTAGCAAACGCACATTGACAGAGATACTCGGACCATCTCAGACCCATACAAATCATTAGCACCATACAAATACAAATTCCATACAAATACCATATATATATACCATACAAATACCCATCATTAATCACACTACCATACACATGAATCACAATACGATACAAATCATTATAGACAACCGATGGCCGCCGATCCATGTCTAATGACTGGACACGGCCGCTGTTCGGCCATCTCTTTGGCGGGTCCAACTGTTGGGGCCGCTGTTCGGCCGGCCGTGCGCCACGTGCCACCGCAGGAGCTGCGTGGCCAGGAAAAGAACTTCGACCACTTCGTGGCATTCGACAAGGCCAAGTGCACCGTGTGCCTGGGCCGAGTTGGAGCAACTGAGCGCTGTGAGTCGGAGGAAGAACAGAACTACGTTGAACACATTGGACTGATTCAGGGGAAGTCTAGAGCCGTTGGCCGAACCTTGGCCACATGTCAGTGGGTAAACATATGCGCGCGCGAGCGCTCTCTCTCTCTCTCTCTTTGCCGTTCAAGCAGTTCTTCAAGCTCAGCGCTTCGGAATCCACGTGCAGCAAAGAAGTGCAACCATATGAGAAGTGCATGAGTGGGCTTTGCTCCCAAGAAGTGCATCCATATGAGTCATATGAGTGAGGCTTTGCTCCCAGATAGCCCCATGTTGTAGACATGAGCCTCCCTATGCTGCATATACTATACTGGTCGCTCCTTTCACGACGACTTCTGACCTTTCGATCATGTTTCTACGCCACTGGTCCCAAGGCCTGGCTGCAGCCAGCTCCACTGGGATCCCTTGGGCTACGTCTTGGGCTGCACGAAGCTGGGCGAAGGCGTTAGGGGTTTGAACATGGTTGAACCCTACCTATTGTTCAACCAGATCTGGTGAAACCCCCGTTTACTCTTGCTCAGATGGGTGTGAAGCCATCCAGAGGGCCAGATCCCTTCTGTTCCAAAGAGACTCAGAACTTCGCGGGGGCCAACAGCGGCGAAATGAGAGGCTGGTGAGCTGGTGTTGATTCCTTCTGCGGCTTGGGAGTTCATTCATACACCTGAAACAGCCGGTTGTCCGCATGGAGCGTCAATTCCTGAAAGGCCATGAGCTCGTCTACAAACTGGCTGTTTTGCACTGCCTTGCTTCATGTTCATTCCACGGAACACGAGATGTTTCCCTCCTGAGATCGTAGCATGCCCAGATGCAGACTTGCCCTCTATGCCAATTAAAGCCTCGGAATCCAAGCAAGCGTTCACCAAGCATGCATGCCGGTTGTGCTTGGAACATTGATGGTTCTGGTATCATGTTGGATCTTGTTTTGAACCTACTAAGGGGGATATAGGGGGGTGGGTTTTGGTAATCTCCCCAAATTCCATCCTTCCAGTGTGAAACAAACCTCCCCAAGAAGCACCCGGATACAAAAGAGGCGCGGGCGGTGCGAAAAAAAACCATCGCCCCACTCAGGAAGAACGACCCTGGCCGTGTGGCGCTGCCTGGTGAGGCGGCCTGGTACTCCTTGCCTGGGACCGCACTGCATGCGCGCACGAGCGCCATATGCGCGCATACGGTCGGAAGCTGCGGGAACGGCTGCGGGAGGGGGGTGGAGATGGAGAGGATTTACACGCCCCGAACTGATGATGGAAGTGGATGGCACCACGTGTTAACTAGAGGATTTATTAGTCATTCGAGATTTTGGGGACATGCCATCCACTTCCACCATAATGATTTCAGATAGTCGTGTAGCCTTTTGACCCTCAAACAATGCTGGAAGCTGAGCCCCTTGTAGTGCCATGATGTGTGTGTTTTTCACAAAAGTCCGAACGGCACGCAGCTGGGTCAATCAATTCCGAACGGACTCTCCTCCCCGGCTCGCCGAGCTCGCCGATGGGAGGACCTGTCCCAGCAAGTTCTACTTCCAGAAGAGTGCCAGCTGCATCCAGAACGAGCCCGGCGGCCAGTGCAAGGGCAAGGAGGTGGGGCGTTCAGGGTGGGAACGGGTGATGGTGATATTGACAGCTGTGGCTGAAAGTTGCGGAACGTCACCCCGCAGTCCAGCAATTTTTGAGACATGTGACATGATGTTCCAGTGATTTGTTTTGGAGATAGATAGATAGATAGATAGATAGATAGATACTGTAGATAGATAGCGAATTCGTGTGATTCTGCTATTCTGCTGGACTTTGCTGTTGTTCGCAGGGCCTGGCAGCGTGGGATTATTTTTGCAGCCCATGGTCCGTTATGCGCCAGCCAATGCTCCATCACTCACGGTCGTCGAGACGGAACCCCAGCATAGATCCACAGGAAAACTGACAGAGGGTGCATTGGTCTGCTTGACAAAGCACTGCCTATTCTTGGGATGCCAATGGTGTTCTTGGACCTTCCCAGAGCAAATTGTTTGGTTGGTGTTCACCACAGATTGATTAGAATAGAAATGGAATACAAGTGGGCGTCCACCAAACAAGCCCCCCAAACAGCACGAAGAAGCGCGTTACTCCATCCACTACGCGCCACTTCTGGCAGGTTACAGGCGCCAGGGATTGCACCTGGGCACAGATGATTGAAGAACTGGCTGCGGATGTGTTGTTGTTGTTGTTGTTGCTGCATTCATCTTGTCGATTGCTTGCAGCATGGCAGATTGTTTAATCATATTTCTTGGCTTTGGCCAACCATTTTGACAAGACCCGGTAGCATTTAGCCGTTGGTTGAGCAAGGTTGCAAAAGCATATCGGAACCAGCAGAGGCTGAGAAGAGAACCTGGCAGGGTTGATAGTCACGGAGGTTCTGTTTGCTTCACAAACAGCCATCTAGGTTCACTCTCTAAGTAGGACCCCTTCTAAAAGGACCTTTTGTTTTTGGTAGCGCAGGGGATGACAGTGGATGACCACGCCACGGTTCTCAAAAATGTCTCCCATCCCATGAGCGTTCGTTTGCTCACAAGGCACCTACACCATCGAAGAAGCGGGCGAGATCCCTTTGGATGACCTCTCAGGCACGCTTTCAGCATGCTCGGCCCCACGCTCATGAATGCCTTCATCCACTAGCCCATGCTTCTGATTCCTTGACTACTTGGAAGGCACCATGCCAAAATGTTCCTTCGCTCTTTGGCTGATCCTCCAACTATACATCTTGCAAGGCATTGCCAACCTCCTCCCAGCCCGGTGCTAGACACACCGGAGTCGAACACCGACCAAGACCCCGCAGTCGCAGAGCGTTTGGAGAGGCATCAAGAACTACAACGACGTTTGCGAGAGCACCGGCGTGAGGCAGGAGTCTACCCAGACACTGAGCTGGGCCTGGGCTCATTGGGAACCCAAGGAAGACATGGCCCCACCGCCGCACATCTCTTCAATCGTTCTTCGAGCTTTTCTGATTGCTGTGATGTGAATGAGATGGAAGTCAGAAGTCACAAACAGTCTATGATCTCTTCCTCGGATGTTCCTATGGCTCGCGACCGATTGATCACTTTAACGTCCCTACAGGTCAGTTTGACCCCATTCCGGCTGGAGTTGATCAAACAAAAACACTCAATCAGGTTTTCAGGACCAGGTTTTACTGGGCCTTTGGACCTGCAGGGGCTATCTGGGTTCTCGACCTCTTTACTCCGAAGTCTTTCTTCGGGGCTTCTCACACAGCAACCAGAAAGAAGCTCCCTTTGCTGCTTCCGCCAGGGAGTACGATGAGACCACGGACAAGGGCGTTGGCACCAGCTTCTGGAACGGAGCCTGGGCCCAGACGCGCGGACGCGCTCCAGACGCGCGCGTAGCTGGGACTGGGAGAGGCGAGCGGTTCGGCGATCAGCCCTCGGTGAGGCTGAGGACCCTTCCGCAAGATGAAACAGATGGGATGTGGACCCGTACTGGTCCGTAAACATAGGCCAGAAAATGCATATGACATAGATTGACATAGGATGAACATGGAAGCCTTTCTGGAATCTGTTCTTTGAATCCTTTTTGTCATGGTTTCAGGGGAATACGCTCCGACTCACAAACATGGAAGTGGAACCCCCCCTGTTCGTAAAGAAAACTATAATAGCCTTCCAAGGGGCCATTTTCCACCTCCATGTGATGTGTTCGTCGGAGTGTACGTAGAGGCAAAAAACAAAGAGATGGATGCGATGTGCAAGGCATGTCACTTGCAGGTCACTTAGTCGCTTGTGCAAGGCCCATGTCAGCTTCGATGAACCATCGGGTGACTCGAGTGATGCCTATCCCTATCGGCCTCATCCAGGAAAGGCGGACCCCAAGAAGGGCAAGCACCGTGTGACCTTGGATTGCTTCAGCATGTTGCATTCTTTTCGTCTTCTCCTTTTTCTACCTGATGACATTTGGTGTCCCAGAATTTCACTTCTTACCGTTTTTGTTTTCCAAGAGGCCCAGCCGTTCGTTGTCGGGTGCAGATGGCCTGGCCGGAACTGGCCTCAGGTGAAGCATATCACGAGGCTCTTTGCCAAGCGCTTCCCCCAGTTCCCTGCGGAGTTGCCGGACCCCACCTGTGATGCCTAGACTTAGGACAGCTTCCGCTGTGGGGATCACAGGAGAGAGGTTCACCTGACAATCGGGTCCCAAAAACCATCCACTTCAAGGCTGCTGTAGCAGAAGTCGTCCACTACAACTCGCGACACATGAGGAAGTGGAACCCTCCTGTTCGTCAGGGAGAAGAGTCATCCAGGGTGGTCAGTATTTCCACTTCCAGGTGCTAAAGGAGTGAAAGGCAGTCAAAGCCTCTCAGTGGCTGACTAGAATTAGTTGGCTCTTGGACTTTTCAGGCACCTTGCCCTTTTACATCCTTTTACTTTAATTTATGTTGACGTAGGATTAATCAACCCCCCTCTTCAAGGTCAACAAGGTCCACAAGGTTTGAGATTATGAGGTTTTGGAGGCCAGATCCCCCTAGTAGGGGTGATGACCTGATGATGGATGATGGATGATGGTTGCTAGGATTCTGTGTGAACCATAAGGCAAGGCCTGTGTAAGGGGTACCCTTTGTGAGCTTGAAAACCTGAATACTTTGATAGAGTTTTGGTAAGGGATTTTTTTTTTCAATAATGTTGCTAGAGAATTAGGGATTGTGGAACAATGGATGCTGACCAGAAGAGATTGGATGCTGACTAAAAAGAAAGTAACTATTCTTAGTTGTAATAGTAAACATTTTTTTTTCTGGGGCAGCTGGGCTTGATTAATAGGGGAAGGTTTCTGATGTTTCTGCCAAGGATTTTTTTAAATGAGGGGGAGGTTATATAATTGTTTTTTGTCGGGTCCGACCATGAGCAGGTATCAACGCTGTTGAGTCACAATGGAAAGAGGAGTTTGAAGTTAAGGTGGTCACTAAGCTAAGGTGATCACTGTGCAAGTTTATTTGCAAGTCGGTGCACTCACGAAAGCCTTCCATTGTAGGTTTTCAGGACAATTTAGGGGAAAAGATAGAATTGAGCATTCCTCACTCACGTTCGTACGTTGACATGCAGGATTAGGATTATTTTTGTATATTGTAGTTTGTGGCAGTGTGAATAAGACAGACCTTTTGTAATAAGACATAGTACGACATAGAAAGCTAGGATAATGTTTGATCATCTCATCTGAAATATCTCAAAAGAACTCCGGTGGCAACACACCCACTTCTTGTGAGATGCCGCGCCAGGACGACCATCGACTGAATTCGGCTGCTTTTCCACCAGCTGGGTGGCCACAGCTCACTCGAACGAAGTGAGATGTGGAGATCTAGACCGGTTTCCCCGTCGATGGCCAATCGATGGGCTCAGATGTTGGGGCTTGACAGATGTCAGATGTGTATGTTAACTATGTTAACTGTATGTCTCAAGAGATGGGTGTCGACTTTGCTCAACACAAAGCGATTCATTAGGTCCTGGAGTGCTTCTACCTTCTTCATATGTTTTCTTCATTCGGCATTCGGGAATTCGATGATTAGATCACCATCGCCCCCGCAATAGTGATTGTTTGTGCAACCGCCGCGAGTCACAAAGCAATGGTGTTTAGTCCCTAAGTGAGTGGATGTCCTGAGCACCCCGACTACCTCCATTGAGTTCATTAAGCACCCCGACATGGAATTGCTGGCAGCCTTACTTTCTGCATTGTGCAATCTATTTTGAGGACAACTTGGCATGGGTGGGCCATGACTTTTGGTGCACCCGAGCCTGAGCCCGCGAAGAGCCCAATCCATGCCACGGCCCGGATTTTGAGCAACAAAACGAGCTGTACTTTGCATGCCAGGTGGGCGGAGGTGGGGAATATGGGGAATGGGAACTAGGGTGTGGCCGCCCCATTGCCAGTAACAGTCGGGAAACGTTTACCACTATTTTTGAGAAAGGCCTGCAACCTAACCCAACCATCATCCACTGTTACTGGTTAATTGGGCTGCTAGTGCGTATAGGCTGACTGGTTGTCCAGGAACCCAATACGAGTTCCACTAAGGAGGAACATCCACTGTAAATGAGAATGGTACACCCAAGATGGAACCACGTGGGATGATGTGGGATCCAACTGTTCTTCTTTCCGCCGGTGGCATTGGCATGGTGGAAAACGAGCTTTGCTTGGCATGATGGTTCAATAGATCCTATTTGTTTCCTCGTCCCAGTTGTTTGGAGCTGTGATCAGGTGAAGGAAGGTGTAGCAAGGCACATGTGATTTGACAGTGACATGAAGATCAAAGTTTGCATGTTAAGTCATCCTTTTTTTTTGGGATTTGCATACCTAAAAGTCTTAACCAAGTTTCCATCCACGTCTCAGGTCCTTGTTACTACTGATCGACTGGTGACTGGTGGTCCACAACCTGTAGCCATGGATCGTATTTCCTGTGCTTAGACCAGCGGTGTATCCACCATTTTCAGCTCCACATCCCAGACCCGGCCGCGCGGTCCGGGTGTCCGGCGGGGCCGGCCTCGTCGGCTGCCGCCAGATCTGAGACGTGGGTGAACCCGTGGCCAGTGGCCCTGGACATGCCAGGCGGGCAGAGCGAAGCGGTGAGCGGAGCGAAGAGCGCGGAGAGCGGAGCGAAGGGGGGGTGGAACCTCCCATGATTCGCATGGAAAGAACTGACATTTAGTTTTGGTGATGGCTTGCTGGAGGAAAAATATGGTGCAGAAAGATGCTTCTTTTGGAGGAAGCTTGCCATTGTGTATTAATTCATTTCATGTCCATCTCCTTGCGCTCGAGCTCCTTGCTTGTTCTTGACAGGATGCAATACTACGTCGTGTAGATTTGAATGCACGGTGGGTGGGCCAGATGGGGATCCACGTAAGCTTCCTTGCGGGTTTGATGTCATCTGGGTTGTGGCCATATTCCGGGTCATGCTGGGTCTATGTCGCCCTTTTTGCATGCAACGTTCTGCTTTCCACAATTCAGCATGCCATTCCTGGCAACAGATGCTTTGACCAGCCTAGTCAGGAAGCATAGACGCTCCCGCACCTCATGCAAGTGGGGCTCAGGAACCTCCCACCCTCAGCCGTGCGAGGCTCTGTCCGCCTGGTGCGGCTCGCCTGTGGGTTGAAGCACACCTTGTTCCTCACCGCTTCAGGTGAGCTGTCGGGGGAACCCAGCGTTGATCCACGCACATCTGGTGGGGGTATATCCATGGATCCTTCGTGGAAAGGGCAGAATTGAGGTTTGAAAAGGCAGTGACTCAGTAGTAGCAGGCCTGGCGGCAGGGACTGCAACACCATTGAACTATATAACATCATAGTCACGTTTATTGATAGATTCCAATCCACTAGCCAGTAGAACTCATGAAATGCACAACATGCCTTACAAAGATGCAAGTTTGGTTCGCTCAGGTTTGGCTGCGGGCAGAATGCGTCGTACCGGCACCAGTTGATGGCACGAGGGGGTGAGAATCAATGCCTTCCCAGGTGCTCCTACGACTTGGCTGCCTCAATGCTCGACTCCTTTGGTTTCGAGGATGTTTGGAACCTCAACTGTATTGCTACCTTCCTTTTGCACAACACCCGCTTCCACATCCCAAGTGGCTTCGGAGCACAGACCCTTTCGCCCAAATCCTCCGCAGCCATCCGATAAGCCGATTCGTCGTGCCAGGCAGCGGCAGCTCAGCAACGCGGTGTCCGGCTGCGTGTCGACCACACCTTTGCCCTTCAGCCTGGGGCACTCAGCTCGACGCGCCGTGCCGGGCACGGGCACGAGATGGAGCTTGAATGGAGCATGCTCGTCATACCCATCGCCATCCAAGAGGCATCAGACGAAATTGTCAAAGCGGGACATTCGTGGAGTCCGTTTTTTTTTTTATAGTGCCACCTCTCTACGAGTTGTCAGACACAACGAAGGTGAAAAAGTCCTGATGTTCAACACTGCAGTGTAGTTGACCCAACATCGTGTTTCCTTTGCACACTTCAGATCGGTGCCACTACCGTACCCAGAGCAATGTGGGGGGGAATAACACGGAACCTCCACAAGCATTCAAAAACTGAATATTTTGCGGACATTCGCCTCACCACCTGAACTGGATCAACGTATTCTTAACAACTTAACAACCGTCGGCAAACAATTATATCACTATTTTAGAGATGTCGGCCTGCAACCAGGCCCCATCATCATCCACTGGGCCCTAGTAATAGGATAGACCCAATGCACGGTCACTCATCTTGCATCTCAAGCAACTTCACCTCCTCTTCGACCAGCCACTTCACCTCCGCTCCCTCGGCCGTCGAGGTGAAGAGAACGGCCAAGCCGTCGAGGTCTTCTGCCACGCGTCGCTCAACGTCTCGGTCGTGCTCACCAAGGAGAACAGGCGACGACAAGCGGTGACGTCGCTGCGGGCGCCGTCTGCCCTCGAACGCGCCAGCACAGGAGAACGCGTAGTAGTCATGCGACGCGTGCCGTGAGGTTTTTCGGGAAGTTCAAGGTTTGAGTCGGGCTTATGAAGCTTTTTCCACGTAAATCAGACTGAGGGGAAGGCGGTTTTCAACACAACGGACCCAATGTCCGTGTCGTTTTTCGGCCCTCCAAGCGACCACTTGACCCACTCGACCCACCGGCTCGCGCACGGCTCGCGCGCAGTGCAGGTTCTTCATTTGCGGTGAGGCGGGGAGTTTGTTCAACTCCACAGGGCTCATCGAGCAGTTCTTGGCCTATGACAGGCAGGATGCGCAGGGCTTCTTTCGGGGCTTGGAGTGGTTGGAAGTCCAGGGCATGGCGTATGATACGGGAGCTATGTTGCTAAGGGGAGGAAGGAGCTAGGGTAGGAGCCTGGTCGGTCCAGCTCCAGAAAGCAATTGCCGGCGGGCGAGCATAAGCCTCAATGAGTGCCACCCAGAACCATTCAACCAAAGCAATTGGACATCATGTAAATGAAATCGAGCAGTGGCTTCGACCTGCGATCACGATCCCTAGAGGCCCTAGCAAGCACAGACTTAATCAGGGCTTAGGTTCATGAAGGCTTTTTCCAGCCAGAGGCTTGGCTCTTATTTCCCCTGTGGTAACATGCAACCTCATTGGGCAGGGACGCGGTCATCGTGGAGAATCACATCGT